AAAAATTGTAAACTGCCCAGAGTATATAAGCAGCACACTTTGCTTTTGCTTTGCTTTAAAACAAAAGCCTAACTTTCAATCAAATGTACTAAATATGGGGAGATACTGTAGCTCTTCCACATCATTTGATGCCTTTTCTTCTTTTCTCTCCACTGAGTTCATCAGGCAGCAACAAAAATAATCAAAGAAAGGAAAGGACTATCTCCTCCATAAACAAAAAAAGCACAAAAATTGAAAAATCCACAAGAAACTGAGGGGGAAATTTTTAAAAATCCAGAGCATTGCCATAGGTAGGCTGTCTGGCAGCAGCAAAAATAATCCAAAAAAATGGGGGGGGGGATCCTTCCCTATAATAGAGAATAAAAGGCACAAAATGAAAGGATTCTAGATAGAGACACAAGAAGCAGTCTCAAGATGGAGGGCATCAGAAGCTTGACATACAATATTTCAACCCAGAAGGAATAAATGAAGCAAAGACCAGGCTTTTTTACGGATTCAAAATTCTTGTTCCCCAATCCCAAAGACTCAGACTGGCTGCTGATAGTTTTTACAATGCAAATGGTTGAAATAGTTTTTAAGTGATTTGACAGATAACAAAAGGTGAAAGCTTATACTGTATGAAAGAGAGGACACAAAACAAGCATAAAATAGTTGTATATTATAGTTGTATATCCATCTTCTGTAAACATGAATCCTTTATGTTTTAGAGGCTCTCTTCCAGCAATCAACAAAATGATAAGAAATACACAAAAGAGAAACAGGATTTTGGCTATTCCTAATGTTTCCCAAAAGGCACATTTTAAATAGCTCATGAGTAGAGATGGGCATGAATCAGAGAAATTGTGATTTGTTTTGATTCATGATTCAAGTCAACAAATCATGATTTTTTTCCTGACAAATCAAAGAATCTATTTGTCAATTCATGTTTTACTTTAAAACCCGAGTAGAGATGGGCATGAATCAGAGAAATTCATCAAGTCAACAAATCACGATTTTTTTTCCTGACAAATCAAAGAATCAATTTGTCAATTCATGTTTTACTTTAAAACCCTATAAAATTGCTCTCCAAGGACCTAGAGAAATCAAATTCACAGAGATTCTTTCTCTGACAAGCCCCAGAGGGCTTTCTTTACAAGCCCTGCAAATTTGATGAACTTTGGGTTTTGGACGTCCAGATTATATACACTCAAGTAGGGACCCAGCCCCAGGAAAGTTCCCCACAGGTACCTAGAGAAACCAAAATAACAGAGAAGATTCTACTGACTCTCCTTTATGATAGGGGTTTCAGACATGCAAGTTATACACCCACAAAATAGGTCCTTCCCCAAGTAAGTTCCCTTTAGCATCTGGCTTGGGGAAACCCAATATTCACCAAACATGGAAGGATTGTAGAGGAGAGTCATGGGAAGTTTCTCTGTGATTTTGGTGTCTCTAGATGGCTGGGGGGCCTTTTATAGGCAAATGAATCAAAATCACTGTTTGCAGCACTTGGTGTCTCTAGATGCCTGGGGGGCATTTTATAGGCAAATGAATCAAAATCACTAAAATTAATTGGTTTGTATTCATCAGGGGCATTGATTCACATGATTACAAATTGGCAAATTAGCAATTTTTGAATGAATTTGGTTATTCATTTTTAATTCATTTGGTTGACTAAGCCTTCTCTTCTTCTGAGGTTGATAAAATGAGTATCCAGCTCCCTGAGGGGGGACAATGTGTAGCCTGCATAATTAACTTGTAAACTGCCCAAGTGCTTGAAGTGCTATGGGGTGGTATATAAGCAGCATGCTTTTGCTTTTTGCTTTTTTAAAACCAGATCATGCTCCTTCTATGATCTAAGACAGGGGTCTCCAAACAATGGCCTGTGGGCCACATCTGACCTGCCTTGCCTTTTTATCTGGCCCAGTCCAGACTCTATCTAGAGGAGGGACCTTTTTATCTGGTTATTCCTGCCCTGCCCCTGCCGTCCTTCCTTCCCTAACAGCTCCTGGCAACAGGATTAGTGTCCTCCTCATCCCCTGCCCTAATGCTCTCTCTCTCTCTCTCTCTCTCTCTCTCTCAGCCTATCCACCACAGGGAAACAATGAAGCTCCCACCCTTCCCCGGGCTTCTCTCTTGTGGCCCTCATACTGAAAAAGCCTCTCCTCAGAGCACTTACATGTCTTTCCTCCTCCTCCTCCTCCTGTTGCATCTCAAACTCACTCCAAGGCCACCAGGACTCTTTTTTCAAACCACCCAGACGGAGTTCAAACAAAACGCCCCCTTGCTACCTGAGGATGCGATGGCAGGGTACAGTTGCCAAGAAGGCCCAATGTGATGAAGGAGGGGAAACCTGAGCTCTCTTTGGCCGGAAACAACTCAGGTGAGTTAAATTCAGCTGTGCATGAGAACTTGGGGGAAGTACCCCTTCCTTCTGATCAGCCATGGGTTCAAGTCCCATTTCAGCAGACTCCCTCTCATAAAGAGCATGGAGTCATGGTGTGTTTGTTTCAGTTTCTGAAGAAGCCCCTCTCCGCATTTCCAAAGACTGTTGCCTGGCACAGGCGGGACCAGGGCAGCAGGGAGGATTGCCTCCTTCAGCAGCAAGACCGGAGCGGCAGACGGTGACCAGTTTGTTTGCTTTCCATGTCCTGAATGCAGGCACTTTATTCCTTTTTCTGCCCACCTCTCCTGGTGCCCCAGGTCTTTCACAACTTCTTGCCCAAGTCCTCCTCACTCACCTCTACCCTTGTCAGCCCCCCTGTGTCCCAGCGACAAGTGAGACCTGAGACACCCTCTTGCAGCAGGATGAACTTTTGCGCTCCTGTTTCTCCCCCTCAGAAGCCTCATTCATTTCCTTCTCTCCCTTTTATCCCCCCCACTGCTGTCACTATCCCCACCCCTCCACCACTCCCACTGCAGGGGCATTTCTCCCAAATTCCTTTTCGACCGTGGTGTTATGCTCCTTTCTCCCTCCTTCCCTATCCACCCCCTCCATCAGCCTCTCACCTCCCTGTCCCCCTCAGTTAGGCTTGGCCTGCTCTCTCTTCGCTCGACTCAGGAGGCTGTTTACAACGAATGCTGGATCTGCCATGCAGCAGAACTCTGAAAAGTACTCTTTTAAAAACTACAATATTTCGAATCCTGTAGTCAGCATGGCCACACCTCATGCCCTTTGGGAGATTTTGGTGTTGTAGCCTGAAAAAAAAAATAACCTGGACAGAGAAAGAGGCTGTAGGTGCTTGGCTTGGACTCTATATTCTTCTGGGATAGACTCAAGGTCAGCAGTTCACTATCTGGATTAAAATTGCTATTTTTACTATAATGATTTTGCTCTGGCAAATCTTGTAAGAATAAAGTATGCTAAGTCCAACTATCAAGCAAGTTTATCTGATGAGCATCTTAAGTCCATTCTAATAATTGGCTGCTCAAGCTTGTAACCTCAGTTCAGCAATATTTTGAAATTAAATGAGAAGTTCCATCCTTCCCATTAATATTGTAGTATGCAAGTACAAGTTTGTTGACCCAAATAAAACTTATTCATTCATTATAAAACTTTTTCCCCTTTCCCCCTTCTTCCCCCCTTTTTTTCCCCCTTCGGCCCTCAAAAATGTGTAAAATATATGGTGTGGCCTTCGTACTGAAATGTTTGGAGAGCCCTGATCTAAGAGCAGGGGTGGGTAACCTTCGTCTCTGCTATAGCTACATTTCCTATGGGACAATCTGTTGAAGGCTGCATACTGGCAAGGGTGGAGCTTCAGCCAAAGGTAGGTAGAAACAGCGTGTCTGAGTTTTGCAGCATCACAGGATTGCATGGTTCCCTCTGTCCCCCATATCACCACCATCCCACCTCAGTGCATCTCTCATCTATATTATGTGCCATTCCTTCTCTTTCTCTCCTCTCTCCCTTTCCATCTCTTTCTGCATCACTCTCCTTTTATCTTTTCATTTGTTTCACTCCCATGTCCCCTTTTTCATTAACACAAGCTTGAAATGACTGCTTAGAGAGGGCTCCCTCTGTTTACATTGCTCTATATGTTTTGTCTCCACTCTTGTAGATTAGTTCCTCCTTCTCTCTGCTTCAGGCCCCTTGGCTCAACGTGGAGCAGTCATGCTTCTTTACTACTATCTCACTTCCTCCCACAATGGTAAGCACTCATCAGAAAGATGATCCAGCAGGCAAGAGTAGGCTTATTTTGCCCAGAGAGGAGCAAGAAATTAGACTATACAGTGGTGCTTCGCATAACAGGCACCGTATTTAACGACAAATCCATATAGCGACAATGCTTTTGCGATCACATAACAATGTTTCCTATGGGGGAAAATCGCTTTGCGATGATTGGTAAGCTGTTTCACTTACTGATTTCCGCATAGCGATGTTTTTTCCCCAGCTGATCGGCGGTTCCAAAATGGCTGCCAGGTAAAACAGGGATGGATTCCTCGCTTACTGGGCAGCTAAAATGGCCGCTGTATGGAGGATTTTCACTTAAAAGGTAAGTTTTAAGCCCATAGGAACGCATTGAATGGGTTTCAATGTATTCCTATCACATGCCTATATTAAAAGAAAACTAATATGCATTTTGGAAAAATGAAAAAAGAAATGTACCTTTGGATGAAAGGTGCTGTTCCCTTTGCCAACATGGTGAACAATTCCAGAGATACAAAGTGGCCCAGCAAATCCAAGCAAATCAGCCAGTATGCGGAAAGTGCTGCTCAGAACCAAAGGTCTCCCAAAGGCATGGCAAAGGGCACACCAGATAGATCTGGATCCTTGTGGGTATGGGGTGTCTTTATTCTGTCAAAGAATATTTTTTAAAAAAGTATTAGAGAGAAGGATGTGAAATGCCATATTCCAAAATGATTAAAGAACATGTCTTATTCATATATATTAGCCACTACATTCAGTCAATGCTGTAGGAAAGGTCATGAGAATTTTTCTTCCTCCTGAGAATCTAAGGGTGTTTTCTGAGAATAATAATCATAGGTATTATTATCAGTGTATACAGTTATAATTTACTAAGAGATACTCATAGACTAAAATAAAAACTGCACCTGTCTGTATATTTCTAATGTAAAAGATGTGCAATGGCATAAAATACCAGAAAAGAAAAAGGGAATGGAGAGTGAAGAGGAAAATGAGCAAGCACACACCAGAGCTTAAAGTTAGATAGTCATTATAATGTTATTTTGAACAGAGGATCATTGAATTCTTGGGGAAAAGGAAGAAGCTCTGATTCTAAAAATCAGAAAAATAATTTAAATGTAATCAATCTTACCTTTTGGGCTCTAAAAGCCTCATTGAGGCGCATGTAATTTGTTGACGCTCTCATGGCAATAGGCAATTTGCCTATCGCTTTCAAATCTATTGGCTTCTTGTGTGCTGTTTTGATGAAGGTATTCATCCACCAGTATGTTCCTTTGGAAAGCAGATTCACAAAAGGTTGCAGAAATCGGACTCCAAGATCTTGAAGGTCGTCAGGGGGCTTCACTTCTTTGGGTTTTTTGAAGAAAACATATCTCTAAAATCCACAAAGTCAAAAGCAATCTTAAGCAAGTTAATGGAAATAAGAAAATGATGACACCACCCCAGATAGCTCTGTCCAGGCTGACCAAATAATCATGATGTTTAACGCCTATGTTTAGAGGGGATACTTTGCTTTCCAATTTATGGAAACAAAATATATTCAAGCAACAACCCCTCCTCTGTAGTACTAAAATTCTATAATGCTCAATTTAAAGTTTACTTTGAGTTAATTACTTTCACAGTAAAGAAATGCATACTTTTACAAATAATATAACCAGGATCCAGTGTGGAGCAGTCCATTAGTGTACCAGACTGAGAGCTAGGACGTTAATATTCTTGTTTTTATTAATTCATGGCACTGAAAGAGTGACCAACTTTGCCTAACTCATAGAACTGTTGTATGGATAAATGGCATAGGGAAGAACCATGTGTACCACCATTGAGCTTATTGGATGGTAAGATATATATGTAACAAATAAACATGTGATATATCAAATAATTTTGCCTGTCAACCAGATTTGACTGTGCCTCTGATACAAACATATTTCTAAAGCAGACATTTACTGTGAGAGTGGGGAGTCTGACTGAAAGAATCCAACAAAGTTAGGAACATTTATGTTCCAATGATTTCAGTGGTTATAATGGATAACAGAAAACTGGCTGGATAGATCACTGAATGTGAGCCCCTGCGTTGGGAGTTCAATTCTCTAATAGGTCTTCCAGGGGAGAAGAGCCAGTTGGTGTAACCTTAGGCAAGCTGCATGATCTCAGAGCATCTAATAGCAGGCCACTTCTGAGTACTCTTCAAAGTAGAAAACCCTGAAAAGGGTCACCATAACTCAGAATCGACTACACACAATTATTATTAACTAGTAACATAACTACATTAATTTTCAGGAAATTGATAGAAATAGAGAAAATGCCTTATTTTGGATGATGTTTGAATTAGTTTTTCACTTATTCTGACTGAATTATAATTAGCACACCGGCTGAAATCCTGTTACATAGCTCTAAGGGCATAACTTGATGTTATAAATTTTTAGGAGAAGAAAACAGGAAAAAATAATCTGTTTTCTGTGCTCCATAAGATGCACAGACTTTCCACCCCCCTGTTTTGTGGGGAAAAAAGTGTGTCTTATAGAGTGAAAAATACGGTATAATTAGCACACCAGCTGAAATCCTGTTACATAGCTCTGAGGGCATAACTTGATGTTACATGTGTGGTAGCTACAATCATATCAACATGAAAGCTCTGTCCAATAGGAACCTGTGCTAGCACACTGACTAATTGGTCAAAAGAGAAACTATGTGGCCTATTGTGCAATCTCCTTGCACATTCCTTGATGGTGAGGTGGAATGCCCTATACATTTACAATGGCATCACATTACACTATGTCTTAACGAACAGGATTCCAACAACTGATTTATATAATTAATTAATTAATCAGCTGTCAAGGAAATTCTGACTTATGGCAACCACTTGCAGGTCTTTCTTGGTACAAAGTACTTAGAAATGGGCCTATATAGTTTGGCCAATATTAGACAGACTGTGTTTTTTTCCTGGATAGTACAGTGGACAATCAAACTCCGAACTCATTGAACTATCCAGTCATTTATACTGTATAAGTATTACTAAAAGCCTATTTCAAGATCTTCCCGGGGCGCAGAACTACCAGTTTGTTTTGGAAGCAACCACTGAAGGACAGCTTTAATTGCTTTAATTGTTTCTAATACTAATTTACTACTATTAATTTAGTGTGACCTCAGAACTGCTGTGTGCCTACTTGACAGGGGTTGGCCTGAGTGATCCATAGGGTCCCTTCCAGGATTCTAAGATTGTATTTTTTTAAATATATTTTTTTATTTCTATAACTATAACAAAAACAAATCATATACATAAAACATATAAACTCAAACACAATAACAGTGTTCCCCACCACCATATACGGGACCTTGGTACAAAGTACTTAGAAATGGGCCTATATAGTTTGGCCAATATTAGACAGACTGTGTTTTTTTCCTGGATAGTACAGTGGACAATCAAACTCCGAACTCATTGAACTATCCAGTCATTTATACTGTATAAGTATTACTAAAAGCCTATTTCAAGATCTTCCCGGGGCGCAGAACTACCAGTTTGTTTTGGAAGCAACCACTGAAGGACAGCTTTAGTGATTTTGTTTCTAATACTAATTTACTACTATTAATTTAGTGTGACCTCAGAACTGCTGTGTGCCTACTTGACAGGGGTTGGCCTCAGTGATCCATAGGGTCCCTTCCAGCTCTGCTGTTCTAAGATTGTATTTGTTCTTGTTCTTTGATGAAAGAGTACTGTACAATATAATTTGATGCCTTCTAGATATAGACAGGCTGAAGCCATATGCTTCATCTTCTAGTGACTTTAACAAGACAAAATGCTGGGCAGCAGACCAGAGAAGGGAGTCTCCTGCTCTATTATGCAGTCCAGCTCCTATTGCCTGATGTGCCATAGTTATGTTAATGAGATCTTCTGGAGTTATCTCTTTCCTAGCTGAGATGTTTTGCCTCCTATATCAGAGTAGACCTATTTCTGTTTCCTTTCCTCTCTTATGTATAATCCATCTTTTGGTGGAAAGCGGAGGAAACATTTTGTTACTGCAAAACAATAACAGTTCAGAATAAAGAGAGAGAGAGAAGTACATTGAGCTTAATAAGAAAACCAGTACCTATTTATATTGCAATTCATTATGTTTTGAACAAATAAACGTTGAACTCAGTGGAGCTTACTTCTAAGTATAAGATACATTACACACAGAACTATACCATAATTCTCTATAATTTAGACAATAACCCTACACACCTACCAGGAAGTGTCTTACTGACAACAGTGGGACTTTCTTTTGAATAAATATGTATAAAATTGTACTGACAGGTAGGTATTTTAGATATGCCAGCTTATAGTTACTTATAAAACCTGAAATATTATTTTATCTAAAAAATTCAAATTATAGAATATCAGGAATATAACTTACCCTCGCTCTGATGACATTAAGTTCTACAAGTAGAAGCATCCCATAAAGAGCTACCAAGAGTCCTGTGAGGCAGAATCGAAGCTGGAGGGGTCCAATCTTATTGTCACAAAACTTCACAAATTTGATGGTTTTTGTTATAAAAGCTAAAGTCCAATAGAATAATAAGGCTGTTGAAAGAAAAATAATGCTTTAACTGTCAGGAATAGTAGGAGTTATGGAAAAATTTACAAATGTTGTAGTATTATTTGGTCAAAATCCTGTCACTTAGCACTAGAGTAGGCACACTGAATCAATGGGGAGTCCTCATACATTCCATTGATTCAAATGAGCCTACCTAACTGCAACTTGCTATGCTAAAATAAATTGCACTGATATATTCATTTATTTAATTTATATCCAGCCTTTGTCCTTGTAGAGAAATGCAATATGATTGCCTGAGTTCCCCTTAAAATAAACTATCACCAATTAGAAATTTTATTTTAAAGTTATTCCTAGTCTTTTAAAATTGCAATCTACTTGAGGTGGAGATGTCCAAACAGCTGCTGTATTCTTGCAAGATACAGCAGCTGTTTGTGTGCACTCACCTTTAGTGTTTTAACTTCAAAATATTTAAGTAGCATTATATATTGTTCAATATGCTTATGGTAACTGAATGTATATTGTTCAGGGGCACACTAGGATAGCAGTTTTAACATTAGCCACATACAGTACACTGTCCTTTATTTAGAATGACATTTTTGTCCTTATGGCTCTATCTAAAATTCAGTCAGAAGGGTGAATGGTTTTACAATGTGATCCAGTTTTCTTGCTGATGCAAAGCTATGGGAAAATAAATCCAGTAGTCTTTAAAGCACTAAAAGGCTCTTCACTGAGTTGACTTTTTTGTTTCTTTGTTGATAAAATAGAGTATTAGAGTCAGTCATTTGGTATGAAAGTCAATAATGTCTTCATCTTGAAGCCAAACTTTCTTTACAGGTAACTGTGCTTGCTAGAACATCTGGAGACTGTAAGAATGTGTATAGTGACCCCTTCACTGCCTCTTGAATATGGCACCAGGAGCCAAATATTTTAAGAAACACCAATGGGCTAGGTGCAAAAGCCCCACCCATCTAACAATGGGCTGATAAAATTGTATCTAACAATTTGGCTGCAGCAGCAACCATTTTTGGTTCTGGATTATTTTCATTGAAACCTGCTATGCCCCAGAATATAAACAGAGTGCCTAGAATATCTGTGAATCATAATTATTTATTTCATAGGTTTTTAACGTGGTCCGTGCACACCTCTCTCTCTCTCTCTCTCTCTCTCTGTGTGTGTGTGTGTGTGTGTGTGTGTGAAGGCTTGAAGAAATATGATCTTTTGCAGTTAAAAGTAAGAATGAATAAAAGAAAGCAAGAAAAGGGAAACTTAGAACAAAATCTTAATTTCCCTTGCTTGTTTGTGTAAAATTTGGCTTTTCTTACCAGTTTCCTCCATTAAAAATGAACAAAAGTGAAAATCAGTTATGAAAATAACTGTTGGATAACAAATAACTGTTTGATATTTCTGCTCACTATGAGAACATGTAAATGAATGACACTGAGTGGCTGAGAGACAGCACGTGACATTTCTTGCTACTATGCAGACAGTCAGAAGCCACAGGAAGAGAGAATCAGAGTCAGTCAGTGTCAGTATGAGAGTGTGATTTTGTGATTGTCTTTCTTCTTTGATTTCTGGAGAGCTGGGAACAGTTTCAGATGGTGCAGAGGGCTGGCAGAAGACAACATCCTTCTTGCAGAAATACTGCTTCCTTTGAAACCTCTGATAAGGCTTTTCATCAGCACATAATGAGACTTTTTTTTTGTAATTGACACAAAAATTACCATCAAATTGTGCATATTGATGTAATTTTGGGGGGAAATCACTTTTCAGTGCTATTATTTTCTTTCAGTCTTTACTACGTGATAGCTTTTCAAAATTTGATCTCAGTCCTCAGCCACAATGTAGAATTACCATATTGAATTTGTAGTTTAGAGTTAATATAAGGTGATATATTCATTTGCTTTATTATCAGTTTATTCAGAGAAGCCTGGGAAGCAGGTAATCAATAATTCCTATCTCCATAAATTACCTTCATAGACTAGAATAAAAGCAAACACTCTTAACAAAATAAATTACAAAACAATAAAATAATATTGGTTAAATTGGTTAAATCTCCCATTGGTTACATTGTATGGCCTCAATATGCTTGTTCGAAATCAGAGCAAGGGATCCTGCTTCTTCTTTTTTGTTATTATTGTTGTAAACAAGAGGTAGAGTTTGGATGAGCCATACTAGAAGAACACAGAATCCCTCCAGATGTTTTGGATATCCAGAAGCCCAAACCAACATAGCTGTGATGGATAGTAGGACATGTAATCCAAAGCATGTGGAAGATCAGATTTCCCAAGCCCTGAAATAAGAGGTACTACATTTTCATTTTGTATTTGCTATCTGAAAAAAGGACTGTATTATGTGCCATTAAGTCAGAGCGAACTTATAATGACCGTTATAGGGCTTTCAAGGTAAGTGAAATAGTTAAGGAGTGATTTTATCAGTTTTGTGTGCACACATGGTGAAATTTCATGGCCAAGCAGGAATTCAAACCCAGTTATCATATGTCTTAGTCTATTACTGAACCCACTAGACCACACTGTGTAGGATTAGGGACTACAGTATAGAGCAGCTCAAAGAGGCTAAAAAAAAATCAAACTTTTTGTACAATGAATGCTCACTTCTGCAAATGAGTTGCATGCAGCTTTTACTGAAACTTTATGCATTGTGGCCAAAATACTATACATTCCACTCTCTGGCATCACACATTTGGCATAAATCTCACTGGCAAACAGTTACCACTTAAGACTTTAGTGTAGATGTTTGCTATTGTACCTCAGTTGTGTGACTTGGCACACAACAGCAAATGCCTACACTAAAGTTTTAATTGGTTGCAATTCATCAATGCTATTTATGGCATTTTCACTGGAGTAAAAATTCAACAGGATTTTGTCCAAAATTTTCTAAAAGACATTATATTAAAAATACATAATATAGGGAGTATTTATACTCATCATAGTCTTATTTGAATGACCTTTTGTGGGGTTACGGCTCTCTAGGGCAGTTATGCATTTAGAACAGTGGTTCCCAGCCTTGGGTCCCCAGATGACCTTAGACTAAAATGCCTAGAAACTTTCACTACTAGCTGCGCTGGCCAGGAGTTCTGGAAGATGTAGTCCAAGAACATCTGGGAACTCAAGGTTGGTAACCATTTAGACAAAAATATGTACTGTTTTCAGGAGGTACAAAAAGACAACTCACGGTGCATTGTTCAAATATTAGGCAGCTGGTTTTGCCTAACAAAAAGGCTTCCAATTGTTATGTAATTTATTATTATTATTACATTTTGAATACTGCATTAGGAAGAAGATGAGACTTTGGGAGGATTTTTTTTTTGTTAGAGATAAAAAAAACCCCAACAAAGAACAACAACAACAACAACAACAAAAACAAAACCAACACCTGCCTTGAGTACCATTCTTCTTTTCTTTGAGATGAAGGACTACCATTTTCTGCTTTCCCTCAGGCAGCAAAATTTCCCCAACTGGATCTGATCTTACTTGGATTGACCTAATCCTTTCTGAAAGAGTTCTAAAGAAGTAGTCCTCACAACATTTTGTCACATGACTTTGATTGAATTGTGTGAAAAAGTAGTGTCTCTGTTCCCTCCTGAACAGATCTGACAAACAATTTCATTGGATGACAAGAGTGTTTTGAGAAAGGGAGACAAAAACCTTTTCTAAACACTTTCTTCACAACTGATGGAGTTTACCATGCTTTGGGTTAGCAATCTCTTTGTTTCTTAAATCAAGGAAAAGACAAGTGGCATAATAGAAGCAGGGCTTTCAGGTTTGAAACTCAGGGACCTTTTGATTAGCAGACAGCATGACACCATACTTGACCTTCCTCAAGTGCCTCTGTTTCCTCAGAACTTAGCTGTAATCCTTGTAATTACTGGGCAACAAGTGAATTTCTCCAATATACTGCTGCAAACCATATTTTTTGTAACACAAAGTACTGAAGATGATTTGATACTGAATGGAGAATTAAGCCATTGGCATTACAAAATATCTGTTCCTCATGTGTTGATATGAACCCATTCAGTTGCCTCCATTTTTTACTCTTCTTGGTTGGTGGAAGACAGTGGCTATCTATGGAAACTGCACCAAAGTACACCTATGTTTCCAAATTTATCACTAAAACATTTTGAAGCACTTAAACATTTAATAATAGGGAAGATGCTGTAATCCTGAACATTTTATTTGCCCTCTGCATACTTTCCATTTCTCAGCTTTTGAGACTGGGCAAGCAACACTGCACATAGTATTCAAAAAGTGGACAAATAATCTATACAGTGGTGCCTCGCTAGATGATGATAATCCGTTCCACTGAAATTGCTGGTTAGCGAAATCATTGTCTAGCAAAAAGCATTTCCCCATTGGAATGCATTGAAACCTGTTTAATGCATTCCAATGGGGAAGAATCGTCGTTGTCTAGCGAAGATCAGCCATAGGAAAGCCGCTTTGCGAACTGCCAATCAGCTGTTCAAATCACTGTCTTGTGAAGCTTAGGTCCCGAAAACACCTGTTTTGCAAGCACAGAGGGAGCTGTCAAAATCGTCATCTAGCTAAAATCAGTTTGTGAAGCAGGGACCAAACGTTGTCCAGTGAAATTCCCCCATAGGAATCACTGTTTCGCGAATCACTATAGCGATCGCAAAAAGTCAATGTCTAGCGAAAAAAACTGTCATGCGGGGTAACTGTCTAGCAAGGCACCACTGTATATATAAATGCATTGCAACTAGAAATGGGCATGAAGCACTTCATGCTGAGTTGTCCTATGTTGTTAACACAGCATTATAGGTGCCACATGTTCACTTCCCCACCCCCTTACCTGTACTCCCACTCACTATCCAGCATTTGTTGCTTGTTCCCTTCCCATAGAGCAATCTTTCAGTCCTGGCAGGAGCATGGACTTTCCTTCTCCACGTCTTCCAGCAGCTAGCCACTTGCAGGCAGCATTGCAGGAATCCCTGCCCTGCCTCCTTGTCTGAGTGGGTAGCTGCTGGAGGAGGTAGGAGATCACACAGTAGAAAAGGAATGAGCAATGCATGGGGGGGTGGAGGAAGGGCTAACAATTAAGGAAGACTTGGCACAAAGTTCTTCATAACCATATTTGGTTACAACATTATCCATTTCCAACTTCTTTCATAATAATCTTAACCTGGAATTTGTCTTGACAGCAGGTTCATGTGGTGAGATGCCAAATGGAGGACTGTTGTTTTCTTTTTCTTTTTGTTTTTGTTAAGGAAGGAAGGAAGGAAGGAAGGAATTGTTTTGTGATTGATTAAACAAATGTGTTACTTGTAAGATTGCTTAAGCATGAAAGTCAACCAGAACAATCTCTTTGAAACACTAGTAGACTGTAGTGTCTAATGATTTGCTGTTTGTAACAAAACTGATCTTTGCTCCCCTCCCCAGTATTTTTTTACCCAAGGAATGAAATGTTCCTATATATTAATAACATATACTAGAGTAACTTCCCTTTAGTGTATAGTTCAGACTTGGAAATACAGTGAGCCCTCAACTTACGAACTTAATCCGTTCCGGACGTCCGTTCGTAACCCAAAAAGTTCGTAAGTCGAAACCAATTTTCCCATAGGAATGCATTGAAAACCATTTAATCCGTTCTGGCTGTTTTTGGTTCTTAAGTCGAGGGGCGGTTCACAAGTTGATTATTAGTTCCCATAGGAACTAATGCAAAGCTGCTTAATCTGTTCCTACCACTAGGGGCAGAATGTTTTTTCTTTTTTCCCTTCCCCCCCTTTCCCCCCTTTTTTGGTTCGTAACTCGATTCTGCGTTCGCAAGTAGGGTCTATAGTTTCCTATGAGATCGGGTTCGTAACCCGAAACGTTTGCAACTAGCGCCGTTCATAATCGAGGGCCCACTGTATGCTAAAATACTTGGTATACTTATATATCAAAGCTAATTCCAAAGGGAGATTGAATAAACAGAAAACAAATTTAAAAGCCCCCAAAGTAAGCTTAGGAGATAAGAAAAAACCTATTTTTACAGATAACAAATATATAGGAGTGGGAAATGCCTCACTGAGGACTAGGTGGACATTTATAGCCCATATTGGGAGCTTTAACCTAAATAAGTTAGTCCAGATCAATGATACTGCATTGAAGTACTGCCAAACATGATCAGACCTCAGCCATGAGAGATACATAGTGACATGGTACATACCTATCAATAACTTTGGGAAATTTGATGTTTCAATGTTGTGATAGTAAACAATTGATGTGATGGCTGCCAAGAATGCCATTCCAGGTGGCATGTACAGGTGCAAATGACGGGATTCTGAAACCCTGTGCAACACATAACATACATTAATTGCAAGTACAGCGATAAGGTAAGCTTATACTCTGATACTGACACAAAGATCCAAATTCACCTGAACACAGTTGCTGATCCACAGAGACAAACGAATGCAGATATGGCCAGCTCTCTTCAGTCTCTAAGAAAAGGTTGTTTCAGAAACAGGCCCACAGACACTGAAAAAGTCTTTGAATGGCAAACTGCCATCCAAGGCTTCTGGGGATGCAATTTGCCATCTATCTTTCTGTCTCTCTGTCTGTCTATTTAATGGCGAAGCAACTGTCCTGGGGAAACATATGCAGCCTGTTGGCTATCCTTTGCCTACTCCTGTTACAAAAGGCATCTGCAGAGAAAACAGTTTCCACCTTTAGAAGTCCACATTTCAGAATTCATACACTGTATGTTATTCTTGACTATTTGTACTAGTGAAGAACAGCTTATAATGATAGTAAACATTTCTAGAAATGAATACAATCAAGTCCTAAAGAAGAAAACCAGGTATTTAAGAGTGCTAGTCTTATCACTGCATGTACTATTTTGTTAATAGGTGTGAGTAGTAGACATTTGAGCATTTCTTGTTGCTGAGGACCAAATTATTTCTTAATGATCTCCTGCCAAAAAATGTTTGTGCTTTGATGAAGTGGAAGTATCTTTCAATTCTTGGAACAAGCCTTTTTCTCCCCACAGTTCTATTTTAGTAATGTTGATTGCTCTTCAGATATGAGAACGTGTTAACTCTCCTGATGTGCAGGTCAATCTTTTTGAATTGCTATAAACGTTGACTTACATTTTGTCTTTAATTCTGTGAAAGGAACAGATTTACTTCATCTTCACGTTTCCTCTCTTCTCTTTTTACTCTGTCTCTGGGGGTTGGGAGACCCATGGGCATGGTGTGTGATATGATGCAGGAAGTTGCAGATGGAGGTGGAAGTCAGTAGAAATCCCTATCCTCTTACACGAACAGAGGAACTTGGCATCTAATTGTTTACACACTAAAACAAACTTTTCTGTTATCTCTTGTGATTTTAGCAACATTGTCACATTGTTTAGAATGTACAGATCATTACAGTTATAATTATCAGACTTTCAGAATTCCCAAGTCTATTCCCCCCCTTTCTTTCAAGGGGTTGATAGAGAATTCAGATATTTGCAGCTTCCTTTCAGGTGCACTGTTTGGTTGAGGACAGTGTCGGTCAACATCTTTTATGTCTCTCTCTTTGGCTCTCTGTGGGCTTTTCCCATTGGAGAAATGCAGAGAGAGCAGGCAAATGGGACTGAATCAATTGCCTATCTAAAAATAAATGTGTGTGTGTGTGTGTGTGTGTGTGTGTGTGTGTGTGTGTGTGTGTGTGTGTATGTGTTATACACACATTCTTGGCAAGGTCTCTGGAATATCTGACACAAAGTCGGTAGCATAATCATAATGAACATAGATTATGTTTATAAAAAGCAGAATATCCAGGATGAAACTGTGATCAGAAAGTTGCACAGAACTGGATTAAGAGCACAGTCACTCAAAGTGAAAAAAAACTATTTATGTACTTACCCATCTGAAACTATGCCCTCAGCTATTTCACACACCAGCACAAATAAAAGGATGAAAGTCAAAATCCAGCGTAAATTATGACCAGGAAAATGAAGCCATGTGCTGTGATGGATATGAACTTTGGAGCTTTGACTTCCCCAACCTAAATGTAACAAAGCAAATACTCACTTTATCTTGCACAGCTCTGTATACAAAATAAAAAATACTTATTCTTATCTATGTTGAACTGAAAACAGAAATCCTGAACATTTAAATGCAGAGTGGATTTTTAAAAATGTAATAAATGAGGCAAAATCCAATACTTAGTCACAATTAGAATTGGTCCATTGAACGAAAGGGACTTAAGTCAACATTTATAAACAGCTGATTTATTTGATGGGTCTATGCAGGTTAGGGCTAACATGTAGATTAATCCCATAATCACACAAACATGGTAGAAGAGCAACTTTGGCACTGATACTGCAATTTTTTTAAAAAAATCTATAATTAAATAAGGAGCACAGGGTGAGAAAAATAGGGATCAATCATTCTGACCAGTTTAATTTCTAATCTGGAAAATACTAAATCAGAGATAAAGCCTACCACATAAATTGGCATTGTACTTAAAATATTGTGCATGCATGTGTATATTACATAGGTGAGAAATCAACTAGTGTTAGTTCCACTGCAGTGAACAAGAAGTCACTTTCCATACAAAGAATACGTATGTCACATTCATTGTATATGTATTTTACTGCAGTAAGAGACAGTGTGCACAGTGGGCAAAGCTCCGGTCTACATTTAGGAAACCTGAGCTGAACTCTCCACTCAACCTTGAAACTGCCTGAACAACCTTGTTATCATGTGTGCTGTCTTTTGCTCCTTGAAGAGATTGCATGGAGATTGCATGTAGATAATAATTTCCCCCTATAAATAAAGCCTATTGAATGCAGTGAGAAACTCATCTTTGATTTCATTAGTGCATCTCTTTCACTTATATATATATATCATTAAATGTAGAACATTTTTGCACAACAGATGGCGAAAGCAGCCATCCTGTCATTTCTTTTCCATTTTTGATGTTCCTGTTCAGGAGGTGGATATTTAGTAAAGTAGAAGAAACTGCTGCCAGGAGTAAAGAGGAAGACACATTTGTATATGATCTTAACAAAATCCTTCTACAATAATTTGAAAGTGTTCTAAAAGTACTGAATGAGTGCATATATTCAAAATAATGCACACACACCTTATTCTGTGCTGTCAAGTCAGAACCAACTTATAGTGATCCTAGTAGGCCTTTCAACATTACTGAAATATTTAAGGAGTAGTTTTACCTGTGAGTTTTCACTTCTGAACAGGGATTCAAACCCTGGTCTCCAGAGTCCTAGTTCATCACTCCATCCATTACACTCCACTGGGTTCTCACAGAGTGTACAGTTATATAGAAAGGAAGATGCTTGGACAACAAATGAATAAGAAAACCATACCTTTTTCAATGTGGCAGATAGATTATATAGATACCCAATGTGGTGTAGTAGATAGAGTGATGGATTGGGACTCATGAGGCCAGGGCTCGAATCCATGCTCAGTCATGGGGGAGGGGGAGTGCAGAACTGGCAAAGGCACTCCTTAAATATATCACTTACCTTGAAAACCCCTTTAGCATCACTGTCAGCCAGTTTTGACTTGACAGCACAGAACAACAGGAGATATATTACATGGAAAGAATATAAATTATCAATGAACCATTCTCTTGGTTCTAAGAAAGTGAATAAACATTCGTACTGAAAGAAATTACCAAGAACTGAGTTTGTGTTCCATTCTATAGATCCTCTTTGTAGCCCTTTCAATGGCTTGAAAAAGAAGCCTAGAATAAAATACATCATTTTTCTAAACTTTATGTAGCCTGAGTATGCACCTGATCCTCTCAAAAATTAAGTAGTTTACGTAAACTTTGAGAGGATCAGGTGCATACTCAGGCTACTTAAAGCTGTACAGTAGCAGTGTAAAATATTGCTAAATGAACTGTGTGGTGTAGAGGTTA